CCCCTTTGAACTGGAAAATGGCCCACTTCCCACTGGCGAAAACTCATGAAATTTGGCAGGACGACCGGGCCTGGTGAAAAATTCGATATCCTAGAAGATAACACTAAAATCCACATATTTAAAAGTCTTATAACTTTTTATTTTTGTCCTCACTGGCCTCCAAGTTTTCTAGGATGATGCAATGTACAGCCATCAACACATTTGTGAAGGAATTTTTACTCCCCAAAAGAGCGCCCCCCCATGGCAGGAGAAAAAAGTCCATTTTTTCTTGTTCCCTAAGGTAAAAATACACATTGTTGAGTGTCACGCCTATACGCTTTGTCAAAATGACACAAAAATTGACACACACATGTAACTCAATAAGATCTACGAAAAAGTCAATGCGCGGCGTATCTGTCAAATGTACGGTTAAAGGGTTATTTCCGCATTTTTTGCCGATCCGCACACATTGGAATGTGGCTAACTCCTCCGAAGGCTTTCGTTCCACCGGCACCACATTTGCTCAGGACAATCTACACCCCATGGCCATTAAAAGTTATTCAAATCATGACGCTGCACCCCACGGTTTAGGTTCTAGGGGGCGCCAAAGATAACCCTAAAATCCACATATTTCAAAGTCTTATAACTTTTTATTTTTGTCCTCACTGGCCTCCAAGTTTTCTAGGATGATGCAATGTCCAGCCATCAACACATTTGTGAAGGAAGTTTTACTCCCCAAAAGAGCGCCCCCCCATGGCAGGAGAAAAAAGTCCATTTTTTCTTGTCCCCTAAGGTGAAAATACATATTGTTGAGATTCACGCCTATACGCTTTGTCATATTGACACAAAATTTGACAATCACGTGCCTTGCCTGGTATCATTTTTTTCAGCACAACCTCACCTGTGCGAATTTACAGTTATTTTATCATGTTGACGTACTGAATTTACACAATGGACCCAAATTCACACACAAAACATAAAATCCGAGTGGAAAAAAGTAACATTTTTACTGTGAAAACCACAAATATGTGTGATGAACTGTTTTTAAAACTTAAACTTCAAATTAAAATTGTAAACTTCAAAACATATGCAAATTTTTAACAAAGAACATAGTGATTTACCTCTATTTTCATCAAAATGCAGGCAATGGCCCAGGCGTTCTTTGTAAAATTATTTACAAAACACTGTATAGTCTCACAAATGTCACTTTTTATTTATGCCACTACAAAAAAACATGATGTAAATGATGCATGATGTAAAACATGATGTAAAAAACTTGTGTAGATCCTCCTCTATGTCAGTCCATGTGTAATTTTTCCATAATTCTTTGTTTTTTGCAGCATTTTTGTTAGTGTAACTGCAGATTGTGCTGACAGTGTCTATGGCACAAAAAAAAAAAAAAATTTAAAATGCCTCAACATGAACCCCTGGTGGTCTCTGAGGGTGAAACCTGCTAACTGCTGCAGCTCTGTCAGCTTCAGTCTCCCATGCAGAGCTCTGAGCGCATGTGTGGCTCTGCACCCTTAGCAGCGTTGCTAACTCCTCAGTAAGGAAAGCCTGCTTCATGTCAGAGTCTCTAAACTCCAGAAGAAGTCGATAAAAGTCCCTTTCTTTCTAAAAAAAAGTCGTTAGGGGGTCTGAAAAGTCATTGAATCTAACAACAAAGTCGCTAGGTTTGCAACTACGTGTCCCAGACTGCATCCCTGCTGAGAGTCCCTCCCTCCCTTCTCATGTTGCAGGAAGAACGTAAGCGCCCGCCCCTTGTCAATCAGTCACCATATAATTTTGGATTGGTTGTTGTGGTGAAGTTTTCCACCAATAGGAGAGATGTTGTGGTGTGTTTTTTTTTTTCTTTTGGCAAGCCTTTTCCGCCTGTAAGACCTGTCGCTAATGTCTGCATGCTATGTTTTCCTGTCTCATACAGCGCGATCGAGCGCCGAACGTGATCAAAATAAGCAGAAAAAAAGTATCGCAGACATAATTTATCATAACTCTGGTTTTATTTGGCCTATCAACACAATTTAAAAACTGGTATATAGGTTGAGGTCCTCACTTTTGAGATAAGTTGAAACGGAGAGTCAACGAGGCTCCGTCTTGCAGCTACATCCGGTTAAATATGTCATGTGACTTGAACGCACACACACACACACACACACACGCACACACACACACACACACACACACTCAGAGTCTGGTTTTTAGCACCTGCAAAAACATGCTATTTACATATTTGACAAGAATGCAGAGGCTCCTTTTGCCCCTGAAAAAAATCAAATTTCAAACACAACTTGACTGGTCATTTCTCCAAAAGACAACCATGAAGCTCCATCCAAACCTGAAGCAGGCAGTTGGTGCATGTTTACAGTAACCTGAGGGGAGTGAGGTGAGTGCTTCTGAGGAGAACATGAGCAGTGAAGATTCACCTTGGAGCTAGAACAGAGACATGCACATGATTATACAGGGGCAGGGGCTCAAGTTTTTTCCAGTCGTTTATACAATATGGAAATTAATGTGAAATTAAAACACAAAGTATTAATAGAAAGGCAATGACTGTCCTGTGTAGGTGACAGTGATATCCAATAGGCTAGGCACTCACGAGGCTGGCTGTGGCAAGTGTAAGTGAAAGCAACACGCACTGGCAGGAAGAACAGCAAACGCCGATGAAGGAAAAGGGTCTTTGCAGTGATGGGCGTTACCAGAGAGGGCGATGGCCAGAGGACACAAATGGGACGGGGAGGCAGCACGTTGGGTGGGGGGGGGGGACGCGACACGGCTCGGGCCCGCCAGTGCCCCAACGGGGTCCTAGTTCTTTGTTTCTTTCTTTCTTTTTAGGGCCCGAGCGTAGCTGCTAAGCAGCTGCGAGAGCCCTCTTGTTCCTGTAGTTTCCTTCTTTTGTTATTATTATTTTTCCTCCCCTTTGAACTGGAAAATGGCCCACTTCCCACTGGCGAAAACTCATGAAATTTGGCAGGACGACCGGGCCTGGTGAAAAATTTGATATTCCGAAGTCGCCCAAACAAGAAAATGCAAAATGGCTCCATAGCGCCCCCTAAGGTGAAAATTCACACTATTGACTGTCACGCCTGTACGCTTTGTCAAAATGACACAAAAATTGACACACACATGTATCTCAATAAGATCTACAAAAAAGTCAGTGCGGGCGTATCTGTCAAATGTACGGTTAAAGGGTTATTTCGCATTTTTTGCCGATCCGCACACATTGGAATTTCGCTAACTCCTCCGAAGGCTTTCGTTCCACCGGCACCACATTTGCTCAGGCCAATCTACACCCCATGGCCATTAAAAGTTATTCAAATCATGACGCTGCACCCCACGGTTTAGGTTCTAGGGGGCGCCAAAGATAACCCTAAGATCCACATATTTAAAAGTCTTATAACTTTTTATTTTTGCCCTCACTGGCCTCCAAGTTTTCTAGGATGATGCAATGTCCAGCCATCAACACATTTGTGAAGGAATTTTTACTCCCCAAAAGAGCGCCCCCCCATGGCAGGAGAAAAAAGTCCATTTTTTCTTGTCCCCTAAGGTGAAAATACACATTGTTGAGTGTAACACCTGTACGCTTTGGCAAAATGACACAAAAATTGACACACACATGTATCTCAATAAGATCTACGAAAAAGTCAATGCGCGCGTATCTGTCAAATGTACGGTTAAAGGGTTATTCCGCATTTTTTGCCGATCCGCACACATTGGAATTTCGCTAACTCCTCCGAAGGCTTTCATTCCACCGGTACCACATTTGCTCAGGCCAATCTACACCCCATGGCCATTAAAAGTTATTCAAATCATGACGCTGCATCCCACGGTTTAGGTTCTAGGGGGCGCCAAAGATAACCCTAAAATCCACATATTTAAAAGTCTTATAACTTTTTATTTTTGTCCTCACTGGCCTCCAAGTTTTCTAGGATGATGCAATGTCCAGCCATCAACACATTTGTGAAGGAATTTTTACTGCCCAAAAGAGCGCCCCCCCATGGCAGGAAAAAAAAGCCAATTTTTTCTTGTCCCCTAAGGTGGAAATTCACACTATTGACTGTCACGCCTGTACGCTTTATCATATTGACACAAAAATTGACACACATATGTATCTCAATAAGATCTACAAAAGAGTCGATTCGCGCGTATCTGTCAAATGTACGGTTAAAGGGCTATTTTTCATTTTTTGCCGATTCGCACACATTGGAATGTGGCTAACTCCTCCTAAGGCTTTCGTCCCACTGACACCAAATTTGCTCAGGCCAATCTACACCCCATGGCCATTCAAAGTTGTAAAAATCATGACGCTGCACCCCACGGTTTACGTTCTAGGGGTCGCCAAAGATAACCCAAAAATCCACATTCTTCAAAGAATCCACATCCCCCCCCCCCCCCCATATGGCAGGAGAAAAAGTTAAGTTTTTCCTGCCCATCGCTCAATGGCTCAATCGCATCGCTCTCCAGGCAACACCGTAAGGAGGAGCAACCTGCCATTTCGATATATCATAGCTGTGTTTGTGCCCTCACTCATGGTCCAGACTTTTTTCAAATAGGACATGAAGTTTGTCTGCAGCGAGTGTTTTGGTAGAAACTGCGCCTCCCATTCATTATAATAGGAAATGACCACAGACAAGTGCGCACACCATCTTTGGATCTTGAGTGTGACGCGATCGGGAGGGGGAGGCGGTCGCACTGGGGGCGGCGCGACACGGCTCGGGCCCGACAGTGCCCCAACGGGGTCCTAGTTTCTTTTTCCTCCCCTTTGAACTGGAAAATGGCCCACTTCCCACTGGCGAAAACTCATGAAATTTGGCAGGACGACCGGGCCTGGTGAAAAATTCGATATTCTGAAGTCGCCCAAACAAGAAAATGCAAAATGGCTCCATAGCGCCCCCTAAGGTAAAAATTAACACTATTGACTGTCACCCCCGTACGCTTTGTCATATTGACACAAAAATTGACACACACATGTATCTCAATAAGATCTACAAAAAAGTCAGTGCGGGCGTATCTGTCAAATGTACGGTTAAAGGGTTATTTCGCATTTTTTTCCGATCCGCACACATTGGAATTTCGCTAACTCCTCCGAAGGCTTTCGTTCCACCGGCACCACATTTGCTCAGGCCAATCTACACCCCGTGGCCATTAAAAGTTATCAAAATCATGACGCTGCACCCCAAGGTTTAGGTTCTAGGGGGCGCCAAAGATAACACTAAAATCCACATATTTAAAAGTCTTATAACTTTTTATTTTTGTCCTCACTGGCCTCCAAGTTTTCTAGGATGATGCAATGTACAGCCATCAACACATTTGTGAAGGAATTTTTACTCCCCAAAAGAGCGCCCCCCATGGCAGGAGAAAAAAGTCCATTTTTTCTTGTTCCCTAAGGTAAAAATACACATTGTTGAGTGTCACGCCTATACGCTTTGTCAAAATGACACAAAAATTGACACACACATGTAACTCAATAAGATCTACGAAAAAGTCAATGCGCGCGTATCTGTCAAATGTACGGTTAAAGGGTTATTCCGCATTTTTTGCCGATCCGCACACATTGGAATGTGGCTAACTCCTCCTAAGGCTTTCGTTCCACCGGCACCACATTTGCTCAGGACAATCTACACCCCATGGCCATTAAAAGTTATTCAAATCATGACGCTGCACCCCACGGTTTAGGTTCTAGGGGGCGCCAAAGATAACCCTAAAATCCACATATTTCAAAGTCTTATAACTTTTTATTTTTGTCCTCACTGGCCTCCAAGTTTTCTAGGATGATGCAATGTCCAGCCATCAACACATTTGTGAAGGAATTTTTACTCCCCAAAAGAGCGCCCCCCCATGGCAGGAGAAAAAAGTCCATTTTTTCTTGTCCCCTAAGGTGAAAATACATATTGTTGAGATTCACGCCTATACGCTTTGTCATATTGACACAAAATTTGACAATCACGTGCCTTGCCTGGTATCATTTTTTTCAGCACAACCTCACCTGTGCGAATTTACAGTTATTTTATCATGTTGACATACTGAATTTACACAATGGACCCAAATTCACACACAAAACATAAAATCCGAGTGGAAAAAAGTAACATTTTTACTGTGAAAACCACAAATATGTGTGATGAACTGTTTTTAAAACTTAAACTTCAAATAAAAATTGTAAACTTCAAAACATATGCAAATTTTTAACAAAGAACATAGTGATTTACCTCTATTTTCATCAAAATGCAGGCAATGGCCCAGGCGTTCTTTGTAAAATTATTTACAAAACACTGTATAGTCTCACAAATGTCACTTTTTATTTATGCCACTACAAAAAAACATGATGTAAATGATGCATGATGTAAAACATGATGTAAAAAACTTGTGTAGATCCTCCTCTATGTCAGTCCATGTGTAATTTTTCCATAATTCTTTGTTTTTTGCAGCATTTTTGTTAGTGTAACTGCAGATTGTGCTGACAGTGTCTATGGCACAAAAAAAAAAAAAAATTTAAAATGCCTCAACATGAACCCCTGGTGGTCTCTGAGGGTGAAACCTGCTAACTGCTGCAGCTCTGTCAGCTTCAGTCTCCCATGCAGAGCTCTGAGCGCATGTGTGGCTCTGCACCCTTAGCAGCGTTGCTAACTCCTCAGTAAGGAAAGCCTGCTTCATGTCAGAGTCTCTAAACTCCAGAAGAAGTCGATAAAAGTCCCTTTCTTTCTAAAAAAAAGTCGTTAGGGGGTCTGAAAAGTCATTGAATCTAACAACAAAGTCGCTAGGTTTGCAACTACGTGTCCCAGACTGCATCCCTGCTGAGAGTCCCTCCCTCCCTTCTCATGTTGCAGGAAGAACGTAAGCGCCCGCCCCTTGTCAATCAGTCACCATATAATTTTGGATTGGTTGTTGTGGTGAAGTTTTCCACCAATAGGAGAGATGTTGTGGTGTGTTTTTTTTTTCTTTTGGCAAGCCTTTTCCGCCTGTAAGACCTGTCGCTAATGTCTGCATGCTATGTTTTCCTGTCTCATACAGCGCGATCGAGCGCCGAACGTGATCAAAATAAGCAGAAAAAAAGTATCGCGGACATAATTTATCATAACTCTGGTTTTATTTGGCCTATCAACACAATTTAAAAACTGGTATATAGGTTGAGGTCCTCACTTTTGAGATAAGTTGAAACGGAGAGTCAACGAGGCTCCGTCTTGCCGCTACATCCGATTAAATATGTCATGTGACTTGAACGCACACACAGACACACACACACTCACACACACACACACACACACACACACACACACACACACACACACACACACACACACACTCAGAGTCTGGTTTTTAGCACCTGCAAAAACATGCTATTTACATATTTGACAAGAATGCAGAGGCTCCTTTTGCCCCTGAAAAAAATCAAATTTCAAACACAACTTGACTGGTCATTTCTCCAAAAGACAACCATGAAGCTCCATCCAAACCTGAAGCAGGCAGTTGGTGCATGTGTACAGTAACCTGAGGGGAGTGAGGTGAGTGCTTCTGAGGAGAACATGAGCAGTGAAGATTCACCTTGGAGCTAGAACAGAGACATGCACATGATTATACAGGGGCAGGGGCTCAAGTTTTTTCCAGTCGTTTATACAATATGGAAATTAATGTGAAATTAAAACACAAAGTATTAATAGAAAGGTAATGACTGTCCTGTGTAGGTGACAGTGATATACAATAGGCTAGGCACACACGAGGCTGGCTGTGGCAAGTGTAAGTGAAAGCAACACGCACTGGCAGGAAGAACAGCAAACGCCGATGAAGGAAAAGGGTCTTTGCAGTGATGGGCGTTACCAGAGAGGGCGATGGCCAGAGGACACAAATGGGACGGGGAGGCAGCACGTTGGGTGGGGGGGGGGGACGCGACACGGCTCGGGCCCGCCAGTGCCCCAACGGGGTCCTAGTTAGGGCCCGAGCGTAGCTGCTAAGCAGCTGCGAGAGCCCTCTTGTTCCTGTAGTTTCCTTCTTTTGTTATTATTATTTTTCCTCCCCTTTGAACTGGAAAATGGCCCACTTCCCACTGGCGAAAACTCATGAAATTTGGCAGGACGACCGGGCCTGGTGAAAAATTTTATATTCCGAAGTCGCCCAAACAAGAAAATGCAAAATGGCTCCATAGCGCCCCCTAAGGTGAAAATTCACACTATTGACTGTCACGCCTGTACGCTTTGTCAAAATGACACAAAAATTGACACACACATGTATCTCAATAAGATCTACAAAAAAGTCAGTGCGGGCGTATCTGTCAAATGTACGGTTAAAGGGTTATTTCGCATTTTTTGCCGATCCGCACACATTGGAATTTCGCTAACTCCTCCAAAGGCTTTCGTTCCACCGGCACCACATTTGCTCAGGCCAATCTACACCCCATGGCCATTAAAAGTTATTCAAATCATGACGCTGCACCCCACGGTTTAGGTTCTAGGGGGCGCCAAAGATAACCCTAAGATCCACATATTTAAAAGTCTTATAACTTTTTATTTTTGCCCTCACTGGCCTCCAAGTTTTCTAGGATGATGCAATGTCCAGCCATCAACACATTTGTGAAGGAATTTTTACTCCCCAAAAGAGCGCCCCCCCATGGCAGGAGAAAAAAGTCCATTTTTTCTTGTCCCCTAAGGTGAAAATACACATTGTTGAGTGTAACACCTGTACGCTTTGGCAAAATGACACAAAAATTGACACACACATGTATCTCAATAAGATCTACGAAAAAGTCAATGGGCGCGTATCTGTCAAATGTACGGTTAAAGGGTTATTCCGCATTTTTTGCCGATCCGCACACATTGGAATTTCGCTAACTCCTCCGAAGGCTTTCATTCCACCGGCACCACATTTGCTCAGGCCAATCTACACCCCATGGCCATTAAAAGTTATTCAAATCATGACGCTGCACCCCACGGTTTAGGTTCTAGGGGGCGCCAAAGATAACCCTAAAATCCACATATTTAAAAGTCTTATAACTTTTTATTTTTGTCCTCACTGGCCTCCAAGTTTTCTAGGATGATGCAATGTCCAGCCATCAACACATTTGTGAAGGAATTTTTACTCCCCAAAAGAGCGCCCCCCATGGCAGGAGAAAAAAGTCAATTTTTTCTTGTCCCCTAAGGTGGAAATTCACACTATTGACTGTCACGCCTGTACGCTTTATCATATTGACACAAAATTTGACAATCACATGTATCTCAATAAGATCTACAAAAAAGTCAATGCGCGCGTATCTGTCAAATGTACGGTTAAAGGGCTATTTTGCATTTTTTGCCGATTCGCACACATTGGAATGTGGCTAACTCCTCCTAAGGCTTTCGTCCCACTGACACCAAATTTGCTCAGGCCAATCTACACCCCATGGTCATTCAAAGTTGTAAAAATCATGACGCTGCACCCCACGCTTTACGTTCTAGGGGGCGCCAAAGATGACCCAAATATCCACATTCTTAAAAGAATCCACATCCCCCCCCCCCCATCCCCCAACCCCCATGGCAGGAAAAAAAAGTCAAGTTTTTCCTGCCCATCACTCAATGGCTCAATCGCATCACTCTCCCGGCAACACCGTAACAAGGAGCAACTTGCCGTTTGGATATATCCTAGCTGTGTTTGTGCCCTCACTCATGGTCCAGACTTTTTTCAAATAGGACATGTAGTTTGTCTGCAGCGAGTGTTTTGGTAGAAACTGCGCCTCCCATTCATTATAATGGGAAATGACCACAGACAAGTGCGCACACCATCTTTGGACCTTGAGTGTGACGCGATCGGGAGGGGGAGGCGGTCGCGCTGGGGGCGGCGCAACGCGGCTCGGGCCCGACAGTGCCCCACCGGGGCCCTAGTTTCTTTTTCCTCCCCTTTGAACTGGAAAATGGCCCACTTCCCACTGGCGAAAACTCATGAAATTTGGCAGGACGACCGGGCCTGGTGAAAAATTTGATATTCCGAAGTCGCCCAAACAAGAAAATGCAAAATGGCTCCATAGCGCCCCCTAAGGTGAAAATTCACACTATTGACTGTCACGCCTGTACGCTTTGTCAAAATGACACAAAAATTGACACACACATGTATCTCAATAAGATCTACAAAAAAGTCAGTGCGGGCGTATCTGTCAAATGTACAGTTAAAGGGCTATTTCGCATTTTTTGCCGATCCGCACACATTGGAATTTCGCTAACTCCTCCGAAGGCTTTCGTTCCACCGGCACCACATTTGCTCAGGCCAATCTACACCCCATGGCCATTAAAAGTTATTCAAATCATGACGCTGCACCCCACGGTTTAGGTTCTAGGGGGCGCCAAAGATAACCCTAAAATCCACATATTTAAAAGTCTTATAACTTTTTATTTTTGCCCTCACTGGCCTCCAAGTTTTCTAGGATGATGCAATGTCCAGCCATCAACACATTTGTGAAGGAATTTTTACTCCCCAAAAGAGCGCCCCCCCCCATGGCAGGAGAAAAAAGTCCATTTTTTCTTGTCCCCTAAGGTGAAAATACACATTGTTGAGTGTCACGCCTGTACGCTTTGTCAAAATGACACAAAAATTGACACACACATGTATCTCAATAAGATCTACAAAAAAGTCCATGCGCGCGTATCTGTCAAATGTACGGTTAAAGGGTTATTCCGCATTTTTTGCCGATTCGCACACATTGGAATTTCGCTAACTCCTCCGAAGGCTTTCGTTCCACCGGCACCACATTTGCTCAGGCCAATCTACACCCCATGGCCATTAAAAGTTATTCAAATCATGACGCTGCACCCCACGGTTTACGTTCTAGGGGGCGCCAAAGATAACCCAAAAATCCACATTTTTAAAAGTCTTATAACTTTTTATTTTTGTCCTCACTGGCCTCCAAGTTTTCTAGGATGATGCAATGTCCAGCCATCAACACATTTGTGAAGGAATTTTTACTCCCTAAAAGAGCGCCCCCCATGGCAGGAGAAAAAAGTCCATTTTTTCTTGTCCCCTAAGGTGAAAATACACATTGTTGACTGTCACGCCTGTACGCTTTGGCAAAATGACACAAAAATTGACAATCATGTGTATCTCAATTAGATCTACGAAAAAGTCAAAGAGCGCGTATCTGTATAATGTACGGTAAAAGGGCTATTTTGCATTTTTTGCCGATTCGCACACATTGGAATTTCGCTAACTCCTCCTAAGGCTTTCGTCCCACTGACACCAAATTTGCTCAGGCCAATCTACACTCCATGGCCATTCAAAGTTGTAAAAATCATGACGCTGCACCCCACGGTTTACGTTTTAGGGGGCGCCAAAGATGACCCAAATATACATTACAGTAGACAAAGTAGTTTTGCCCACTGAGTGGCGCCAAAGGGACTTGTCTGTGGAGTCTGTGAGTCACTATTGGCCGTTTTTGACTACTTTAGATTTTACCTTTATATTTCCTCTTACAAAATTTTTACCTTGCCTTGCCTGGTATCATTTTTTTCAGCACAACCTCACCTGTGTCAATTTACAGTTATTTTATCATTTTGACATACTATATTTACACATTGGACCCAAATTCACACACAAAACATAAAATCCGAGTGGAAAAAAGTAACGTTTTTACTGTGAAAACCACAAATATGTGTGATGAACTGTTTTTAAAACTTAAACTTCAAATAAAAATTGTAAACTTCAAAACATATGCAAATTTTTAACAAAGAACATAGTAATTTACCTCTATTTACATCAAAATGCAGGCAATGGCCCAGGTGTTCTTTGTAAAATTATTTACAAAACACTGTATAGTCTCACAAATGTCACTTTTTATTTATGCCACTACAAAAAAACATGATGTAAATGATGCATGATGTAAAACATGATGTAAAAAACTTGTGTAGATCCTCCTCTATGTTAGTCCATGTGTAATTTTTCCATAATTCTTTGTTTTTTGCAGCATTTTTGTTAGTGTAACTGCAGATTGTGCTGACAGTGTCTATGGCAAAAAAAAAAAAAAAAACTGAAAATGCCTCAACATGAACCCCTGGTGGTCTCTGAGGGTGAAACCTGCTAACTGCTGCAGCTCTGTCAGCTACATCCGGTTAAATATGTCATGTGACTTGAACGCACACACACACACACACACACACACACACACACACACACACACACACACACACACACACACACGCACACACACACACACTCAGAGTCTGGTTTTTAGCACCTGCAAAAACATGCTATTTACATATTTGACAAGAATGCAGAGGCTCCTTTTGCCCCTGAAAAAAATCAAATTTCAAACACAACTTGACTGGTCATTTCTCCAAAAGACAACCATGAAGCTCCATCCAAACCTGAAGCAGGCAGTTGGTGCATGTGTACAGTAACCTGAGGGGAGTGAGGTGACTGCTTCTGAGGAGAACATGAGCAGTGAAGATTCACCTTAGAGCTAGAACAGAGACGTGCACATGATTATACAGGGGCAGGGGCTCAAGTTTTTTCCAGTTGTTTATACAATATGGGAATTAATGTGAAATTAAAAAACAAAGTATTAATAGAAAGGTAATGACTGTCCTGAGTAGGTGACAGTGATATCCAATAGGCTAGGCACTCAAGAGGCTGGCTGTGGCAAGTGTAAGTGAAAGCAACACGCACTGGCAGGAAGAACAGCAAACGCCGATGAAGGAAAAGGGTCTTTGCAGTGATGGGCGTTACCAGAGAGGGCGATGGCCAGAGGACACAAATGGGACGGGGAGGCAGCGCGTTGGGGGGGGGACGCGACACAGCTCGGGCCCGCCAGTGCCCCAACGGGGTCCTAGTTAGGGCCCGAGCGTAGCTGCTAAGCAGCTGCGAGAGCCCTATTATTCCCCAAGTGGTTTTTCTTTGTTTCTTTCTTTCTTTAGGGCCCGAGCCAGCTGCAGAGCAGCCGGGCGTAGGCCCTATTATTCCCCAAGTGGTTTTTCTTTGTTTCTTTCTTTCTTTCTTTCTTTCTTCTTTTTCCTCCCCTTTGAACTGGAAAATGGCCCACTTCCCACTGGCGAAAACTCATGAAATTTGGCAGGACGACCGGGCCTGGTGAAAAATTCGATATTCTGAAGTCGCCCAAACAATAAAATGCAAAATGGCTCCATAGCGCCCCCTAAGGTGGAAATTCACACTATTGACTGTCACGCCTGTACGCTTTGTCATATTGACACAAAAATTGACACACATATGTATCTCAATAGGATCTACAAAAAAGTCAGTGCGACCGTATCTGTCAAAATTACGGTTAAAGGGTTATTTCGCATTTTTTGCCGATCCGCACACATTGGAATTTCGCTAACTCTTCCGAAGGCTTTCGTTCCACCGGCACCACATTTGCTCAGGCCAATCTACACCCCGTGGCCATTAAAAGTTATCAAAATCATGACGCTGCACCCCAAGGTTTAGGTTCTAGGGGGCGCCAAAGATAACACTAAAATCCACATATTTAAAAGTCTTATAACTTTTTATTTTTGTCCTCACTGGCCTCCAAGTTTTCTAGGATGATGCAATGTCCAGCCATCAACACATTTGTGAAGGAATTTTTACTCCCCAAAAGAGCGCCCCCCCATGGCAGGAGAAAAAAGTCAATTTTTTCTTGTCCCCTAAGGTGAAAATACACATTGTTGACTGTCACGCCTATACGCTTTGTCAAAATGACACAAAAATTGACACACACATGTAACTCAATAAGATCTACGAAAAAGTCAATGCGCGCGTATCTGTCAAATGTACGGTTAAAGGGTTATTCCGCATTTTTTGCCGATCCGCACACATTGGAATGTGGCTAACTCCTCCTAAGGCTTTCGTTCCACCGGCACCACATTTGCTCAGGCCAATCTACACCCCATGGCCATTAAAAGTTATCAAAATCATGACGCTGCACCCCACGGTTTAGGTTCTAGGGGGCGCCAAAGATAACCCTAAAATCCACATATTTAAAAGTCTTATAACTTTTTATTTTTGTCCTCACTGGCCTCCAAGTTTTCTAGGATGATGCAATGTCCAGCCATCAACACATTTGTGAAGGAATTTTTACTCCCCAAAAGAGCGCCCCCCATGGCAGGAGAAAAAAGTCCATTTTTTCTTGTCCCTTAAGGTGAAAATACATATTGTTGAGATTCACGCCTATACGCTTTGTCATATTGACACAAAATTTGACAATCACGTGCCTTGCCTGGTATCATTTTTTTCAGCACAACCTCACCTGTGCGAATTTACAGTTATTTTATCATGTTGACATACTGAATTTACACAGTGGACCCAAATTCACACACAAAACATAAAATCCGAGTGGAAAAAAGTAACATTTTTACTGTGAAAACCACAAATATGTGTGATGAACTGTTTTTAAAACTTAAACTTCAAATAAAAATTGTAAACTTCAAAACATATGCAAATTTTTAACAAAGAACATAGTGATTTACCTCTATTTACATCAAAATGCAGGCAATGGCCCAGGCGTTCTTTGTAAAATTATTTACAAAACACTGTATAGTCTCACAAATGTCACTTTTTATTTATGCCACTACAAAAAAACATGATGTAAATGATGCATGATGTAAAACATGATGTAAAATACTTGTGTAGATCCTCCTCTATGTCAGTCCATGTGTAATTTTTCCACAATTCTTTGTTTTTTGCAGCATTTTTGTTAGTGTAACTGCAGATTGTGCTGACAGTGTCTATGGCACAAAAAAAAAAAAAAAAAAAATGCCTCAACATGAACCCCTGGTGGTCTCTGAGGGTGAAACCTGCTAACTGCTGCAGCTCTGTCAGCTTCAGTCTCCCATGCAGAGCTCTGAGCGCATGTGTGGCTCTGCACCCTTAGCAGCGTTGCTAACTCCTCAGTAAGGAAAGCCTGCTTCATGTCAGAGTCTCTAAACTCCAGAAGAAGTAGATAAAAGTCCCTTTCTTTCTAAAAAAAGTCGTTAGGGGGTCTGAAAAGTCATTGAATCTAACAACAAAGTCGCTAGGTTTGCAACTACGTGTCCCAGACTGCATCCCTGCTGAGAGTCCCTCCCTCCCTTCTCATGTTGCAGGAAGAACGTAAGCGCCCTCCCCTTGTCAATCAGTCACCATATAATTTTGGATTGGTTGTTGTGGTGAAGTTTTCCACCAATAGGAGAGATGTTGTGGTGTGTTTTTTTTTTCTTTTGGCAAGCCTTTTCCGCCTGTAAGACCTGTCGCTAATGTCTGCATGCTATGTTTTCCTGTCTCATACAGCGCGATCGAGCGCCGAACGTGATCAAAATAAGCAGAAAAAAAGTATCGCGGACATAATTTATCATAACTCTGGTTTTATTTGGCCTATCAACACAATTTAAAAACTGGTATATAGGTTGAGGTCCTCACTTTTGAGATAAGTTGAAACGGAGAGTCAACGAGGCTCCGTCTTGCAGCTACATCCGGTTAAATATGTCATGTGACTTGAACGCACACACACACACACACACACACACACAGACACACACACACACGCACACACACACACTCAGAGTCTGGTTTTTAGCACCTGCAAAAACATGCTATTTACATATTTGACAAGAATGCAGAGGCTCCTTTTGCCCCTGAAAAAAATCAAATTTCAAACACAACTTGACTGGTCATTACTCCAAAAGACAACCATGAAGCTCCATCCAAACCTGAAGCAGGCAGTTGGTGCATGTGTACAGTAACCTGAGGGGAGTGAGGTGACTGCTTCTGAGGAGAACATGAGCAGTGAAGATTCACCTTAGAGCTAGAACAGAGACGTGCACATGATTATACAGGGGCAGGGGCTCAAGTTTTTTCCAGTTGTTTATACAATATGGAAATTAATGTGAAATTAAAAAACAAAGTATTAATAGAAAGGTAATGACTGTCCTGTGTAGGTGACAGTGATATCCAATAGGCTAGGCACTCACGAGGCTGGCTGTGGCAAGTGTAAGTGAAAGCAACACGCACTGGCAGGAAGAACAGCAAACGCCGATGAAGGAAAAGGGTCTTTGCAGTGATGGGCGTTACCAGAGAGGGCGATGGCCAGAGGACACAAATGGGACGGGGAGGCAGCGCGTTGGGGGGGGGACGCGACACAGCTCGGGCCCGCCAGTGCCCCAACGGGGTCCTAGTTAGGGCCCGAGCGTAGCTGCTAAGCAGCTGCGAGAGCCCTATTATTCCCCAAGTGGTTTTTCTTTGTTTCTTTCTTTCTTTCTTTCTTCTTTTTCCTCCCCTTTGAACTGGAAAATGGCCCACTTCCCACTGGCGAAAACTCATGAAATTTGGTTGGATGACCGGGACTGGTGAAAAATTTGATATTCCGAAGTCGCCCAAACAAGAAAATGCAAAATGGCTCCATAGCGCCCCCTAAGGTGAAAATTCACACTATTGACTGTCACGCCTTTACGCTTTGTCAAAATGACACAAAAATTGACACACATATGTATCTCAATAAGATCTACAAAAAAGTCAGTGCGGGCGTATCTGTCAAATGTACGGTTAAAGGGTTATTCCGCATTTTTTGCCGATCCGCACACATTGGAATTTCGCTAACTCCTCCGAAGGCTTTCTTTCCACCGGCACCACATTTGCTCAGGCCAATCTACACCCCATGGGCCATTAAAAGTTATTCAAATCATGACGCTGCACCCCACGGTTTAGGTTCTAGGGGGCGCCAAAGATAACCCTAAAATCCACATATTTCAAAGTCTTATAACTTTTTATTTTTGCCCTCACCGGCCTCCAAGTTTTCTAGGATGATGCAATGTCCAGTCATCAACACATTTGTGAAGGAATTTTTACTCCCCAAAAGAGCGCCCCCCCATGGCCGTAGAAAAAAGTCCATTTTTTCTTGTCCCCTAAGGTGAAAATACACATTGTTGAGTGTCACGCCTGTACGCTTTGTCATATTGACACAAAAATTGACACACATATGTATCTCAATAAGATCTACGAAAAAGTCAATGGGCGCGTATCTGTCAAATGTACGGTTAAAGGGTTATTCCGCATTTTTTGCTGATCCGCACACATTGGAATTTCGCTAACTCCTCCTAAGGCTGGCGTTCCACCGGCACCACATTTGCTCAGGCCAATCTACACCCCATGGCCATTAAAAGTTATTCAAATCATGACGCTGCACCCCACGGTTTAGGTTCTAGGGGGCGCCAAAGATAACCCTAAAATCCACATATTTCAAAGTCTTATAACTTTTTATTTTTGTCCTCACTGGCCTCCAAGTTTTCTAGGATGATGCAATGTCCAGCCATCAACACATTTGTGAAGGAATTTTTACTCGCCAAAAGAGCGCCCCCCCATGGCAGGAGAAAAAAGTCAATTTTTTCTTGTCCCGTAAGGTGAAAATTCACATTGTTGAGTGTGACACCTGTACGCTTTGTCATATTGACACAAAATTTGACAATCACGTGTATCTCAATAAGATCTACGAAAAAGTCAATGGGTGCGTATCTGTCAAATGTACGGTTAGAGGGCTTTTTTGCATTTTTTGCCGATTCGCACACATTGGAATGTGGCTAACTCCTCCTAAGGCTTTCGTCCCACTGAAACCAAATTTGCTCAGGCCAATCTACACCCCATGGCCATTCAAAGTTGTAAAAATCATGACGCTGCACCCCACGGTTTAGGTTCTAGGGGGCGCCAAAGATGACCAAAAAATCCACATTCTTAAAAGAATCCACATTCTCCCCCCCCCCATGGCAGGAGAAAAAGTCAAGTTTTTCCTGCCCATCGCTCAATGGCTCAATCGCATCGCTCTCCAGGCAACACCGTAACGAGGAGCAACCTGCCATTTGGATATATCCCAGCTGTGTTTGTGCCCTCACTCATGGTCCAGACTTTTTTCAAATAGGACATGAAGTTTGTCTGCAGCGAGTGTTTTGGTAGAAACTGCGCCTCCCATTCATTATAATGGGAAATGACCACAGACAAGTGCGCACACCATCTTTGGACCTTGAGTGTGACGCGATCGGGAGGGGGAGGCGGTCGCACTGGGGGCGGCGCGATGCGGCTCGGGCCTGACAGTGCCCCACCGGGGCCCTAGTTAGGGCCCGAGCGTAGCTGCTAAGCAGCTGCGAGAGCCCTCTTGTTCCTGCATGTTTCCTTCTTTAGGGCCCGAGCCAGCTGCAGAGCAGCCGGGCGTAGGCCCTGTTATTCCTGTAGGGGTTTTTCTTTGTTTCTTTCTTAGGGCCCGAGCGTAGCTGCTAAGCAGCTGCGAGAGCCCTCTTGTTCCTGTAGTTTCCTTCTTTTGTTATTATTATTATTATTATTATTTTTCCTCCCCTTTGAACTGGAAAATGGCCCACTTCCCACTGGCGAAAACTCATGAAATTTGGCAGGACGACCGGGCCTGGTGAAAAATTTGATATTCCGAAGTCGCCCAAACAAGAAAATGCAAAATGGCTCCATAGCGCCCCCTAAGGTGAAAATTCACACTATTCACTGTCACGCCTGTACGCTTTGTCAAAATGACACAAAAATTGACACACACATGTATCTCAATAAGATCTACAAAAAAGTCAGTGCGGGCGTATCTGTCAAATGTACGGTTAAAGGGTTATTTCGCATTTTTTGCCGATCCGCACACATTGGAATTTCGCTAACTCCTCCGAAGGCTTTCGTTCCACCGGCACCACATTTGCTCAGGCCAATCTACACCCGATGGCCATTAAAAGTTATTCAAATCATGACGCTGCACCCCACGGTTTAGGTTCTAGGGGGCGCCAAAGATAACCCTAAGATCCACATATTTAAAAGTCTTATAACTTTTTATTTTTGCCCTCACTGGCCTCCAAGTTTTCTAGGATGATGCAATGTCCAGCCATCAACACATTTGTGAAGGAATTTTTACTCCCCAAAAGAGCGCCCCCCCATGGCAGGAGAAAAAAGTCCATTTTTTCTTGTCCCCTAAGGTGAAAATACACATTGTTGAGTGTAACACCTGTACGCTTTGGCAAAATGACACAAAAATTGACACACACATGTATCTCAATAAGATCTACGAAAAAGTCAATGCGCGCGTATCTGTCAAATTTACGGTTAAAGGGTTATTCCGCATTTTTTGCCGATCCGCACACATTGGAATTTCGCTAACTCCTCCGAAGGCTTTCGTTCCACCGGCACCACATTTGCTCAGGCCAATCTACACCCCATGGCCATTAAAAGTTATTCAAATCATGACGCTGCACCCCACGGTTTAGGTTCTAGGGGGAGCCAAAGATAACCGTAAAATCCACATATTTAAAAGTCTTATAACTTTTTATTTTTGTCCCCACTGGCCTCCAAGTTTTCTAGGATGATGCAATGTCCAGCCATCAACACATTTGTGAAGGAATTTTTACTCGGCAAAAGAGCGCCCCCCATGGCAGGAGAAAAAAGTCAATTTTTTCTTGTCCACTAAGGTGAAAATACACATTGTTGAGTGCTACGCCTGTATGTTTTGTCGTATTGACACAAAATTTTACATACACGTGTATTTCAATAAGATCTTCGAAAAAGTCAATGGCCACGTATCTGTAAAATGTACGGTTAAAGGGTTATTTCGCATTTTTTGCAGAATAGCACACATTGGAATTTCACTAATTCCTCCGAAGGCTTTCGTTCCACCGGCACCATATTTGCTCAGGCCAATCTACACCCCATGGCCATTAAAAGTTATTCAAATCATGACGCTGCACCCCACGGTTTAGGTTCTAGGGGGCGCCAAATATAACCCTAAAATCCACATATTTAAAAGTCTTATAACTTTTTATTTTTGTCCTCACTGGCCTCCATGTTTTCTAGGATGATGCAATGTCCAGCCATCAACACATTTGTGAAGGAGTTTTTTCTCTTTAAAAGAGCGCCCCCCCATGGCAGGAGAATAAAGTCAAGTTTTTCCTGTTCATCATTCAATGGCTCAAACGCACTGCTCTCTCGGCAAAAGCGAAAGGAGGAGCAACTTGCCATTTGGATATATCTTAGCTGTGTTTGTGCCCTCACTCATGGTCCAGACTTTTTTCAAATAGGACATGGAGTTTTTCTGCAGCGAGCGTTTTGGTAGAAACTGCGCCTCCCGTTCATTATAATGGTAAATGACCACAAACAAGTGCGCACACCATCTTTGGACCTTGAGTGTGACGCGATCGGGTGGGGGAGGCGGTCGCGCTGGGGGCGGCGTGACACGGCTCGGGCCCGCCAGTGCCCCAACGGGGCCCTAGTTTCTTCTTTTTCCTCCCCTTTGAACTGGAAAATGGCCCACTTCCCACTGGCGAAAACTCATGAAATTTGGCAGGACGACCGGGCCTGGTGAAAAATTTGATATTCCGAAGTCGCCCAAACAAGAAAATGCAAAATGGCTCCATAGCGCCCCCTAAGGTGAAAATTCACACTATTGACTGTCACGCCTGTACGCTTTGTCAAAATGACACAAAAATTGACACACACATGTATCTCAATAAGATCTACAAAAAAGTCAGTGCGGCCGTATCTGTCAAATGTACGGTTAAAGGGTTATTTCGCATTTTTTGCCGATCCGCACACATTGGAATTTCGCTAACTCCTCAGAAGGCTTTCGTTCCACCGGCACCACATTTGCTCAGGCCAATCTACACCCCATGGCCATTAAAAGTTATTCAAATCATGACGCTGCACCCCACGGTTTAGGTTCTAGGGGGCGCCAAAGATAACCCTAAAATCCACATATTTAAAAGTCTTATAACTTTTTATTTTTGCCCTCACTGGCCTCCAAGTTTTCTAGGATGATGCAATGTCCAGCCATCAACACATTTGTGAAGGAATTTTTACTCCCCAAAAGAGCGCCCCCCCATGGCAGGAGAAAAAAGTCCATTTTTTCTTGTCCCCTAAGGTGAAAATTCACACTATTGACTGTCACGCCTGTACGCTTTGTCAAAATGACACAAAAATTGACACACACATGTATCTCAATAAGATCTACAAAAAAGTCCATGCGCGCGTATCTGTCTAATGTACGGTTAAAGGGTTATTTCGCATTTTTTGCCGATCCGCACACATTGGAATTTCGCTAACTCCTCCGAAGGCTTTCGTTCCACCGGCACCACATTTGCTCAGGCCAATCTACACCCCATGGCCATTAAAAGTTATTCAAATCATGACGCTGCACCCCACGGTTTACGTTCTAGGGGGCGCCAAAGATAACCCAAAAATCCACATTTTTAAAAGTCTTATAACTTTTTATTTTTGTCCTCACTGGCCTCCAAGTTTTCTAGGATGATGCAATGTCCAGCCATCAACACATTTGTGAAGGAATTTTTACTCCCCAAAAGAGCGCCCCCCATGGCAGGAGAAAAAAGTCCATTTTTTCTTGTCCCCTAAGGTGAAAATACACATTGTTGACTGTCACGCCTGTATGCTTTGGCAAAATGACACAAAAATTGACAATCATGTGTATCTCAATTAGATCTACGAAAAAGTCAAAGAGCGCGTATCTGTATAATGTACGGTAAAAGGGCTATTTTGCATTTTTTGCCGATTCGCACACATTGGAATTTCGCTAACTCCTCCTAAGGCTTTCGTCCCACTGACACCAAATTTGCTCAGGCCAATCTACACTCCATGGCCATTCAAAGTTGTAAAAATCATGACGCTGCACCCCACGGTTTACGTTTTAGGGGGCGCCAAAGATGACCCAAATATACATTACAGTAGACAAAGTAGTTTTGCCCACTGAGTGGCGCCAAAGGGACTTGTCTGTGGAGTCTGTGAGTCACTATTGGCCGTTTTTGACTACTTTAGATTTTACCTTTATATTTCCTCTTACAAAATTTTTACCTTGCCTTGCCTGGTATCATTTTTTTCAGCACAACCTCACCTGTGTCAATTTACAGTTATTTTATCATTTTGACATACTATATTTACACATTGGACCCAAATTCACACACAAAACATAAAATCCGAGTGGAAAAAAGTAACGTTTTTACTGTGAAAACCACAAATATGTGTGATGAACTGTTTTTAAAACTTAAACTTCAAATAAAAATTGTAAACTTCAAAACATATGCAAATTTTTAACAAAGAACATAGTAATTTACCTCTATTGACATCAAAATGCAGGCAATGGCCCAGGTGTTCTTTGTAAAATTATTTACAAAACACTGTATAGTCTCACAAATGTCACTTTTTATTCATGCCACTACAAAAAAACATGATGTAAATGATGCATGATGTAAAACATGATGTAAAAAACTTGTGTAGATCCTCCTCTATGTTAGTCCATGTGTAATTTTTCCATAATTCTTTGTTTTTTGCAGCATTTTTGTTAGTGTAACTGCAGATTGTGCTGACAGTGTCTATGGCAAAAAACAAAAAAAACAAAACTGAAAATGCCTCAACATGAACCCCTGGTGGTCTCTGAGGGTGAAACCTGCTAACTGCTGCAGCTCTGTCAGCTTCAGTCTCCCATGCAGAGCTCGGAGCGCATGTGTGGCTCTGCACCCTTAGCAGCGTTGCTAACTTCTCAGTAAGGAAAGCCTGCTTCATGTCAGAGTCTCTAAACTCCAGAAGAAGTCGATAAAAGTCACTTTCTTTCTAAAAAAAAGTCGTTAGGGGGTCTGAAAAGTCATTGAATCTAACAACAAAGTCGCTAGGTTTGCAACTACGTGTCCCAGACTGCATCCCTGCTGAGAGTCCCTCCCTCCCTTCTCATATTGCAGGAAGAACGTAAGTTCCCGCCCCTTGTCAATCAGTCACCATATAATTTTGGATTGGTTGTTGTGGTGAAGTTTTCCACCAATAGGAGAGATGTTGTGGTGTGTATTTTTTTTCCTTTGGCAAGCCTTTTCCGCCTGTAAGACCTGTCGCTAATGTCTGCATGCTATGTTTTCCTGTCTCATACAGCGCGATCGAGCGCCGAACGTGATCAAAATAAGCAGAAAACAAGTATCGCGGACATAATTTATCATAACTCTGGTTTTATTTGGCCTATCAACACAATTTAAAAACTGGTATATAGGTTGAGGTCCTCACTTTTGAGATAAATTGAAACGGAGAGTCAACGAGGCTCCGTCTTGCAGCTACATCCGGTTAAATATGTCATGTGACTTGAACGCACACACACACACACACACACACACACACTCAGAGTCTGGTTTGTAGCACCTGCAAAAACATGCTATTTACATATTTGACAAGAATGCAGAGGCTCCTTTTGCCCCTGAAAAAAATCAAATTTCAAACACAACTTGACTGCTCATTTCTCCAAAAGACAACCATGAAGCTCCATCCAAACCTGAAGCAGGCAGTTGGTGCATGTGTACAGTAACCTGAGGGGAGTGAGGTGACTGCTTCTGAGGAGAACATGAGCAGTGAAGATTTACCTTAGAGCTAGAACAGAGACGTGCACATGATTATACAGGGGCAGGGGCTCAAGTTTTTTCCAGTCGTTTATACAATTTGGAAATTAATGTGAAATTAAAAAACAAAGTATTAATAGAAAGGTAATGACTGTCCTGTGTAGGTGACAGTGATATCCAATAGGCTAGGCACTCACGAGGCTGGCTGTGGCAAGTGTAAGTGAAAGCAACACGCACTGGCAGGAAGAACAGCAAACGCCGATGAAGGAAAAGGGTCTTTGCAGTGATGGGCGTTACCAAAGAGGGCGATGGCCAGAGGACAAAAATGGGACGGGGAGGCAGCGCGTTGGGGGGGGGACGCGACACAGCTCGGGCCCGCCAGTGCCCCAACGGGGTCCTAGTTTGTTATTATTAGGGCCCGAGCCAGCTGCAGAGCAGCCGGGCGTAGGCCCTGTTATTCCTGTAGGGGTTTTTCTTTGTTTCTTTCTTTCTTCTTTTTCCTCCCCTTTGAACTGGAAAATGGCCCACTTCCCACTGGCGAAAACTCATGAAATTTGGCAGGACGACCGGGC